ACTACCTAAGAGTTCCATCGAATGTTGGCCGTGGTTCGAATCTCTATGTTATGGTAATTTAACTCTTGGATCTGAGGATTGTTTAAAGTCCGTCAGGGCACATCTTACATCATTACTACGGCTCCCGTGGCTTTTAGTGGGTCATCCAACACAAATCACGCCCGCATTGCCACCCGAGTTAGAGTACGTGTACACCTAGGCTACAGCCAAGGCAACCACGAGATGGGTCGATTCCGGTCAATGCCCAGGTATTGCTTAGGTATAGAAAGATGGAGCAGATAGCGTTTACTATGAACCTTAAGAATCACCCCACTTCCTGTTAAGATACCAGCTGCACCAAACGGCGAATCACTAACAGTCACTAGGGCAGAGGTTGTATCAGTAGACCCCGGCACGCCCCAGCCGCCACCGACGAATCCGGAAAGGCCAAACCATGTGCCAAGATTGCTACGACCCTGACGATTTGCTCGGGCGCAGCGGGAAGAGGCCACCGCGCCAGCTCAGCGTACCTGCCAGCCTGCTGTGCTAACCCGCTACACAGACAGCATCGAGACGTTGTCGTCGTCGTCGTCCAACCTGCATTGCTGCATGGCCGCCGTCCCCATTATTACCCCAATCCCACACTCAATTCTCTCTGTAACCAGTCACACGTTAGGTGCCCTTCTTCGCTATCGTTCTACCATTCAGTTACTCCGATTCCTCCTCCAAGCTGGCTTGCTATCTTCCCTCACCTATTAGTATATACTCTAAACCAATCGTTTCAAGCAGGTCGCGAAGCTGTTCGCTTTCTTTCCCATTGAGTTCTCTGCATCTTGCATCTTGCATCTTTCTTTCCTTTTTCCCTCTACCATCCTCACCAGCACCGTCGTCGTCGTCATCACTGCCTCTACAGTCCCAGGCACTCACACCGACAGCAAACGGGCGCAAACTCGTCCTTACCGACACCCTTACCGTAGCGTAGCGCAGCGTCTATTGCCTTATCGCCGCCACATTCCGCCATTCAGCTCGTCAGGCTATTGATATTGAAGTCGTGTGATCAACGACGAGAACTACAACCACGACAACCTCGATCGTCCTGTTTGATCGTAGCGGCGTTGTCCTCTTCTTTCTCGACAGCACCGTGACATTCGTCCTCGAAAGGACCGCGGCCGAATGACTGTGGCAAACCGGTGACGGCGGCGTGCCAGCTTTGGGTCTCGCTTATTTTACCAGCAGCACACGATCCCCACCAGCCCATCATGACGAGTCCTCTAGATGGCATCGTCATTGGACTACTTTCGTCCTTTGGCTCTGCCGTCATAGTCGCTGTCATCTTTCTCGTCATGTATTTCTTCCGCCACACCGCATCCGGTCGTATCTTCCTGGACCGCATCGGCCGACCCGGCGAATATGATGACGAGCAGGCGTTTGCAAGAGAAGAGGCCGAGGCCCTGGAGACGATGGATGATATGCAGAGAACTGAATACCTCAGAGCAAAAGGTAACCCCTCTTTCCTTGCCGTTTGGGACACGAGACGGTTCCCCGAAAGCTATATTGTTCCCAGCCTAACTAGCCGTCAGCCTTTATACAGGGAAACCCACCCGAGTCAATCCAGACGGACATTTCATTATCACAATATTTAGCTATTCAAGAAAAGGGCGTATCAGCATGGGAGTTTGAGCCGGAATTAGAAATCGCCAACTGTTTCGTTGAAGCCAGGACCGAGATTGAATTTTTCGACTCCGAGTGCACAGTCATGAGCAATTTGCCTGTGCCAAAACAAAACGAAGTTTATTACTGGGAGGCAAAAGTATTCGAAAAGCCCGAAACCACTTTATTAAGCATTGGAATGTCGACGAAGCCCTACCCGTTATTCAGACTTCCAGGTACGTTTATGTGATTTCTGTGGCCCCGGTTCATAGCTGAACATTGTCTTTAGGGTACCACAAATATTCGGCTGCCTACACGTCTACAGGCGCACGGAGATACAATCAGCCCTTCATGCCATCGCCATACGGGCCCCCAATCGTTCAAGGTGACGTTATCGGCGTTGGTTACCGCCCTCGAACTGGTACTATTTTTTTCACACGTAATGGCAGGCGGCTAGATGATGTCGTTCACGGTTTGAAGTCGCAAAACTTCTTTCCCTCGGTTGGTGCCAACGGTCCCTGCATCATTCACGTCAATTTTGGGCAGGCTGGATTTGTCTTTATCGAGGCCAACGTAAAGAAATGGGGGCTTGCGCCAATGACTGGCAGTTTGGCACCGCCACCACCTTATGGGAGCGAACAGGGTAGTATCCTATTGGAATCCGGCCGTAGGAAGGACGAGACTCCAGGATCACCATCGCAGACTCACTCCTATTCACAATCACTTCACACATACATCAACCGAGGCTCTATACTAGATTCCGGTCACGCTCGAACGCGCAGCGGCAGTTACCGAGTACTCCCACCCACCAGTCCAGGGCCACAGAGAAGTCCGACAGATATTTCTCTAGCTCAGTTAGTTCCAACGGATGAGGCAGGCGAGGGAAGCAACAGCGGTCATGGCTTTGCATCCTCCGGAGATCATGTGGTTAACATCACGGGACTAAGCCTACACGAAGCTTCACATCCACCACCCGAATACACCAGTCCCGAACATTCCGACGAAGATGGCAGCGGTTCTGAAAGCGATATTGCTCCGTTAATCAGGACGCCAATGCGGAATCGTGGAGCTTCTGCTGCCGCACTCCGCTCAAACAACCCCCCAATTCCTAGTTATAGTGATGCTGTACGCCAAGGCGCTGGTAGGGATAGAAGTCGAAGCGATACGAGTGCCATGCAGAGGCGGGGTGGTTATTGAGATTGGCTGGTTTTTTCCATCAAAAACTTGGTCTGGAGTTCGTAGGCGCAAAAGGATTTGGCATAGTCAATATTGTGAGAGGATCGAGCGCCCTCTCAAATAGGGAAACCACACAACAAAGTGAAATGGTCAGGGTGGGAAATACTGCCAGTCTGTTGTTAGAAATACCCGGCTAGCAAGACACATTGTAAGCCATCAAACATGAGAGGCGGCGTTTGCGGGCGTTGTTGTCTTTTTGTTTGTTTGTATGCTTGTTGTTGAGATGATTATTCTTAACCCGTTTTATAAATCAGCCATGAATGGCTGTATTGTATTCCTGGCGGTAGCAGGTTTTAACGACGTTACTTCTACTACTACATAGATACATTGCATTGGAAGCCCCGGTGTCAGGGCAAGCAGGTGGTAGGCACATACACCTCCCGTGTCTTTTCTCGATTCAATGCGGAAGAAATATTCCTCTCTTGTTGTTATTTTGTCGGTGGGTTAGTTGAGTTGTGACTTGCTTGCTAATACTGCGCGAAAGGATTTGGCAAGTATTTATCTATTTCAAGAATTACAAGGCAGGCAGGTAGACGGCTTTCGACGTGGTGCTAGGTCTGTCTGTCTGTCTATGTGGGTTGGCCTCGTTCCGCAAATGCAGAATCAGGACCTTGTGTTATAGGTATCGCTGAGAGTGGGAGGGTGATTGTAGTCATTAGCTGCAAAGAAATTGCTATCAGACGATGAACGGCTCGTGATGAGTTGTCGTGCTTTATATCAACGAAAGCTATTTCATATGTGTTGTGTTATGTTAGATAGATCCTTCCTTCTAACTTAAGAGACAGAATGTACATGCAGAGCTGCGTTCTGTGATTCTCATCACATACAATAGTATAACGGGGGATGTCATGAAGGTACAGTACGTCGCTCCCAATTACTTGTATAGAAGTTTCTCGTCACTTACGCTTTAATATACATACATATGTGTGTATATATTCTTGACATAATTGTCTTATGTCTGCCTATGATTACGAGTTGTCATAGGCCCAAATATGTGACAACAGCTTGGAACAAAAAGTTTAACCCAGCTAGGAATTCTTTTGAGGTATGAAAGAATCCTCAGCTTCCTCCAGTTCGGAATATCTGTATACACGTAAATTTTAGGTCGACAATCTACTCCCTCTCCAACCGAACTCCGACCCAGTTCCCCCTCATAGTTCAGCTGAGGTCTTAATGATATCGTCGGCCAATAGCTGCTGTGCTGTCTATCCATATGTCTCAACAGGGCATACTAGGGCCGTGTGACAGGATATCTCAAGAAGACGCATCATATTTAAGATATATGACTCAGCGAGGGTTCGGAACTCTACTAGCTCGCATAAATGTGTATGATGATATATTTACCTGTAATAAAATGGACACATTTGTTCACCCGTTAGATATAGTGTCATCTTCAAGTTTATAAACAAACCACCTGGATACATGGATCGCCTTCCCGCTTTCCACTGTAAGCAGGGCTAGAGATATAGGCTTGAAAGGGTATTCAATATTGTAATAATCTTCTGGGGTGTCAAGGAGGCCATATTAGTCCACGTTCCTCCTTCGAGCCCTCGCGGCAACCCCACGTTTAGATATACTGGCCTAGATAATTCAGGTTTGCGTTTATTTTATCGTGGCCTTAGGCGAATACGGCAGCTGAATACTTCAAATACCAACTTATAGACTGGTTACATGATGCCGACCTGACCCATAGTTGCATTCCCCTACCCAAAGGCCAGTGCGTGTGACACCCACTAATATGCATGTTTGATAGCAACAAACAGACAGGTGGGTAAGGTAAACGGGACTGTCTCGTGTCATATTCCATGTCACTTTGACACTTCTGCGCGGTTTTTTTCCCTGGTGACAACACTCTATCAAGCATAAATGATATCCTTTCTGTGCTCTATTAATATCTAAGTCTTGTGTTATTACATAAGCTAACTATGAAGCTAAGCCAAGACTAGCCTCCCTTTGCTTAGCTCCGATATCGCAAGTTCTGTTCCGCAACCAGAATTCATGAGCTCCAATTGCGTCTGGGACCGTCAGACAGTCGATTTGGCGCAATGGTAGCGTACAGACCTCCTAAGTCTGGGGTTGCGGGTTCGAGTCCCGTGATCGATGCAACGCGATCAGCTACATGTTGAATCTTCTTTGGGCGAATGGTCTAGGGGTATGATATTCGCTTTGCATATGATCTGCTACATCTTCGATGTTTACAGACGCATTGCCTGCGAAGGGTCCGGGGTTCAAATCCCCGTTCGTCCAGTATTTTTGCAGATTTGCACAACTTTTTATCAACATTCGGTTGGAACTTATCTCAATTATGAAACATACACAAACACAGATGGATCGGGAAATACATGTTTTTTAATCGTTGCTTTCTGTTTTCTATGGTGCCCTAGGGTATCTCTAATATCTGCGCAAAATCGTCTTGATAAAAGTCATCCATGCTCTCTCTCTCTCGCTGTCCGTGCAACATAACTAAAATGACAAGATGTTCAAGTCTAGTACTCTGAGATGAGGGGAGTGCAACGGCCCTTCATTTGCCGAGTGTCTCAATCTAAGTTTCCTTTCGTAGACCCGCTCCAGAATCCAGGTGATCAAATAGTAAAAATGGTAATTCGTCTTCAAATATCTCGTTTTGTCTTGTTTTCCGGTATTTTCTTTTTCCAAAAATAGTTACAAAGAAAGAATAGTTTAAAAGGGCCATCTGAATCATGTCGTTCGCTGAGAATCATAAAATATGACATGTTGTGCCGTCTAATATCGCATGACGCTGGGCCGAAGTCGATTATCGTAAAGTCGTGTATGAGGCCCATGCATGGGGCGAAGTCGTAAGTAATACAATCGAAGGCTCAAAGTAGTGTAATAAAAATTTCGAATAAAATTGACACAGAAGTCGGAGTTTCGCGGTGCTGAATTAGAGAAATCCGCCTTCGTTCCCGAATACACCGATACTGCCGCGCCACCGACAGCGGTCATCAGGGGTCTGAGTTCCACGAGGCGTATGAGTATCGTAATCACCGCTGCCACGATTGCTGCCGGTGCTAGCGTTCGACTGTACGAGAAGCAGACTGCTCGTGCCGCTCAATCGTTTCGCAAATTCGTTGAAACTAAGATTCTTCGCGTCCGAGGTCGAATGCCGTTTCTCGTGAGTTCGCCGCATCGGGGCTCCTTCTGGCACTCGTGGAGAAGATGACAGCATGTGCAGTGGCGGTGCCTGGATGTGTGGCTGGCTATTCGTTCGCTGGGCTATCGGCCTGCTTCGTGAGTGTGCCGTGTGCGGCCGTAGAATACTGCTCAGCCCAGCTTCACTATAGGTCGAGGTGTGACGGTCGGCAATGAAGTGAAGCGCTCTCAATGAGGCATCCATCTCGTTGTGTTCATCGTAATGTTCAAAGGCATAGTTGTCACTATCATCATCATCGTCATCGCCAGCTCCCCTACCAAACTCATCCTCATCGCTGTCGTCGTCTTCCCACGTGCTCTTCAAAGGTTCTTGCGCTACCTCTCTTCTCCCGGCGGTCCTCTGGCGGTTTTCTGTTTCGCGCATCAGTGCCTCAAACCTCGCGAGTGACGTGAGCTTCTCCTCTCCAGCCACCTCTCTATCCGATCCTGGGATATATCGCATCTGAAACGCCCGATCTAAAATGGTCTCACGGGGCGCTACGCGGGGGCTGGACTCCAGGCTAGGTCCACTGGGGTCGAGGGAAGAGCTGATGCTGGCGCGGGCCCTGATAGGGGAGCTCAAGGCAGAGGAGCGTCCCTGTGACGCCGTCCATCCTTCTATGAACTGCTCTGGGTGCTCGTCCAAGGTCGAAGCGGGAGAAGGTAGATCGGAGTGCTGTAGGTTAGCATACTGCTGCTGCGCAAAATTCATACTGGCCGGCACCATGGAGCTCCCGTGAGAAGAAAGGTCACTCTTGCGAGAGCGCAGGCTTGGGGACTCAGAAGTATATGCGGAGCTCTGTTCTCGTGTCGATGGACGAGTCCTACCGGACGACCTTGGTTGCAGCTTGGACCGCAGCTTTCCCTTCGCACTGGAAACCGGTCCACGTTTTTCGACAGCATCTTGTATCGGGGGAAACGGGCTCACGAAGGCCGGCGATGTTGGACTAACTGGACTCATGGGAACGGATTGCTGATATTGCATGAGCGACTGAATATACCTTGCCCAGTCGTTCACGCCATACTGGGACTCCTCGGCGGCGAGAAACCATAGCTTCGTTGGGCCAGCGTCTTTGCTCGTGATGAGCCCAGTAGTCCGGCTCGAGCGACGTTTTCGTAACTTGTCGGTTGCCGGATCGGGGGAGATTTGCATGGTGAGAGTAGGAAGAAGATGACCCTGCTTCCGGTGGGCAATGTGCTGCACCTGACACTCCGTTATCAACGCAATAGAGTGCTGAATGATGGGCTCGGAATCCTCCTATCGCCATGTTAGCATGGCAAGATACATACACATTCAAATGAACATGGCATGCATACCTTGGACTTGTATACTGAAAAGTAGAGGGCGTCTGCAGGAGCCTTCAGTTGCGACTTCGAGGACCGAACGCCCACATCTCTTATCCGAGCAGTGGACAAAACCTGAGAAAGCGAGAGATTGGGCGACTGGCCTTCTTTTTGGTGCTGTGGACCAACAACAACATAACGTGGCTAGGGATAGAGTCAATTAGCATTTCCGAGGTGAAGTGCGCAGTTGGTGGTGAGAGCGGCTAACCTTCCAGACAGGCTTTCCAATAATCGGACCCCGATCCGGGGGCGCAAGAAGAACACCCTCCATGAGGATCGCCGGCTTGCTTCTGAGTTGTGGTAGTTGTCTGTTGTTATTATGCCTTGAGTAGGGCAAAACGTCTCTGAATAGACGCTCGTAGTGTGATGATCCGCAAGCAAAGAAGCTGAATTCTTTATCTGCTATCCAGAAATCATATTGGCCAAGAAGCGTGGGAGGTAGCGCGCCAGGCAGGTGACCGGCTTTTGTTTGAGGAACAAAAAGGGAATTGGGGGTCACAATGCAAGGGATGGTTTTCAGGGAGATAGCAGGCAACTTGGACGTCTCTAAGAGGTCGCCTTCTCTCCTAGAACCGAGAATTCAATTTCGCCCCCGTGTAATGGCGTGTAATACAAAGAAATAAATAAATCGACCGCTCTTGCTGGTAAGAAAGCAGGTGGTATGAAGAGGGAGAAAGGTGAGATGATAGTTGTATCGTAGTTGTAGTACTTTCTGCGACGACGCAAGGCTCACTTTGGCGGTCCGTTTATCCTTGTACACATTATTAAATTAAATTTACTGTACCGTACTCGGTAACTGCTAATTGTTCAACTACCTACTGTAAAAGGGCGCAACGGAGAAAAAGAGGCCAAAGGGTGCGTAATGTATTGAAGGAGTTCGATGTAACTCCTGAAAGCACCCATCTTGGTCATGATGAAATGTGGGCACGATTCCGTGGAATAATTGTACCTGGCCGGATCGCTAAACCCAGAATAGAATAAGTGAAGGAGTTCTAAGAGCAGCTTGACTATACTCGGTTATATACAGGGATGGCTCTAAACTCAAAGCAGAGTATTTCCGATGACTTGGCTCATAGCTTATGTGTACAGTGTTATTCACAAGGCATCCATGGGTCCGGCAGCTGAAAAGCCCTCTGGAAACCTGAGCCAGGTTCAGGGGTATTCGGGGACCTACACTAATATAGTGCACTGCAGTAACCTGGTAGCGCACCTCTTTTGAGATAATGTAAGCCGACCCGGATCGTTGTATGTAGTGTACTACAGGTAACGTAGCTGGGTAATGACTAGCACGGGTATCCATCTATCAGTACTGCTAAATACACTAATTGCGAACCAAGGCTACTCGCTGTCTTTCTCGCGGCCAAACAGGAGGTGAACAACCCTCCTAAGTGATGTGCTTGCAACCGACCTGTTACCGGGCAAGCCGGTGCCAAAGTACTTATATGGCCTTGGCCCCAATAAATATTTCGAGCGCAATATAACATAGTGGTAAGCCGATAACCCGCGAGCCTTTTGAACTTGAAAGCCATGATAGGAGAACCAAATTTTGGCGGGCTAGATGACGAGCACCGACCGATGTTCCAGCTCGTCAAACTTCTCAGAGCGATGCTTGCTATCTGGGAATGAGGGGAAAAACAGAAGATGTACATACCCCCCTTGACCAGCAGCTGAGAACTACTGGAAAACATCTAGCCTTTCTCGTATGTAGTTATAACAGGTAGGTACAGTATATAGGTAGAAAGTGCACAGTACCGCACTTGGGATATCACTTCTCACCAAGTACGGATCATTTTGCATGAAAACTCGGTATACTAACATAGATAGTAGATTGATCTATAGATATTAGGCCCCAATAGCTTCTCCGAAAGTGAATATGCCGTCTCGTTGACACACAACCTGCAGTAGTAGCGCGCCGAGATGCCATGGAAACGGATGATCGTGAGATGAGGATGCGGATGACTATAGCCTGTAGAAAGTCAAACGACTGAGCGCATGCTAGCATGTTAGACAGTGGGAAAACAATAAGCAGTAAAAAAGGAGGGATGATGGGAGAACCACCGCCAGTCCAACCATGGAGTACAGTAGGCCGCAGGTGATGCGGCCATTCCTTCGAAATGGATAGAATGTCACCCTAAGTGCTTTCCACCCAACAGCAACGGAGATGGAAGTGTGATCATTCCATGAAATCTAAATAGTACGCCCTCATATCGACAGATACAGTAGTCCGTACCTGTTGCTCTAACATATTTCTTGATAGGTAAGTGGTATATCCGAGGCTAGACTAACCTCGCGCACTTATTTCGGAGGAGAAGAGGCGATGGATGATGCGCGCACGCCGGTTTCGCTAGTCATTGCTGATATGAACTATAACTGCTTCAATAACTAATGTAACTTGTCTAAAAGTCGAATTCTCGTTGGCCTCCGCAATCGCATGCGCCCAGATGTAAGTAAGCGCGCGTGACGTTATATGCGTATACTAGGTATAGGTAGGTGTTGCTGTCCAGTTGTTCTAGAAGTCTCAAGATCTGTGATCCCTGACACTAAGGGTTGACCGCCATGACTGCAGTAGAACCTTAATTATCAATGACAGAGTCTCTGCTTCTGAAACATAGGCACTATTCAACTGTACTGGACTGTACGGGGTTTCACCCTGTAAAATACCCGCAAGTATATGCTGCTCCCCAGCAAATAAAAAGGGGAAAGAGACGTGCAGAGAGCAAAGCCGGGATCAAGGTTCCCGGCTCCATGCAGTG